TGGTATTAAAGTGTTTGACAAAGTGTTATTTGTGTTTTTAGTAGTTCCCCCATGGGACATGGTAATTTTACGGAGTTACAACACTAAAATGTGGGGACCGATTCCCCGCGGTGGACAGAGTAAGTAGAACAATGTGGCTTTACTATAAGACAAAGAAATCAAAGCATCTTTAGTGGATTACATTTTTTTTTTCAAGAGGAAGGGAATAATTGTTTACATGTGTTTTTGACTCCAATTACTCTAACTTTTAGCTCAAGCATTAGAATGTTGACATACCGACTAAAGAAATCGACTTGTTTTGTTTTTTGCCACAGTTAATGTTTTTAATTTTATTCATAGAACTAGGGCAACATTTAACATTATGTCTTTCTTATACCTCGAGTAATTTCCCTCTGAATGGCAAGTCCATGAAAGTTGGACAAAGCATTGTCACCTGTGATTTAGATAAGGTACTTCATTAATTAATTTTTGTGTACTGGCCTTATCTTGTCGCTTCACCGGATAAAGATTGTGGGCTGTTGACCTTTATTTACTAGAATTCAGTCGTATTTATATTTTCTGTTACTTAACTCCTTTTTAACTTCGTTAACTGGTATTCTTTAATGATTATGGAGAAATATTTTTTTAATTTGCGTCGATAGATGTTCTTATGTACTCATCAACAAGAGTATCTGACAGTCAGCTTGCAAAAGGAGGCAGAAGTCCACAGAATTTTCAGTACCCAACTTTCCTGAGGGGCTTTATTTCCTAATTTTAGGAATCATTCTTGCAACTTCTGAAGAATGTTCATCTATAATTACAATAAGGATATTATTATTATGGTGCTAATGGTTGAACTAGAACTTATAACAACTTAAAGTTTGAAAGCGGTAGAGCTCATAGATTTGCAGACTGTCTTCTCACGTTGTACAATGTGAAATTCACGTCATGTTGGATCTCGTCGGCAGATAAATTAGAGGATTAGATTAGTTCTTATTTTCGTCATTATCATTTGTTTTATATTTCCTTGAGTTTTGGGTTTGATTGAGGGACTATTTTTGTTGGACTAGTTTCTTTGGCGCCATGTTTAAAAGCCTGAATCCTTTAGTAAAACCCTTATGATAAACACACAACTCACAAGTATCACAACACAACAAAACGAAACAGTAAATAAAATAATAGTAGCAGCCAAAAACATTTTTACAAATTCATAAGACAATACCGAAATCCTCAAAATCAAGAAGACTGTATGACATTAATCATAAAAATCGCAATTCAACACATTAGGCATTTACATCCACATATAATACAATTAGTAGTAAATTAACAAACACCAATTTCCTAGAAAACAGCTACAATAACCATATTAACTAATACATAATCAGACAAAATAAATGGACATAGCCCTGAAAAGAAAAGTAGAAACAAAATCACCAAACAAAAAAGTTCAACAAATAATATCAGTTCATGAGGGGGGGGGGAGATGTCTGAATAGACCTGACCCTCCCAGGTCATCAAGACCTAAGTCCCGATGATAGATTCAGCACCAACCCTTATGAATTTTAATAGCATAAAAATCAGAATTTGGAAAAAAGCGAGTTACCTTAGGAGTCTGACTGGCAACAACCAAGGAGCGTCACCAGAAAACATGTTAAAAATTCATACATAAGATCAGTCGTAGAATATGCCTGTTTAACATTGATAAATGTATCAAAAACAACACATCAACAAACAACAGCATATACAAAACTATTTTAACCAAAGCACTTAGAGTCCCACGATCTACAAACTCAGTATTTCTACACAATTATTCAAACATGCCAACACTATCAGACAAATTCCTGGATAACTTGCTTCAATATTATAAGAAAAATATTAATAAAAACGAACTGCTAAGCAAACTAGAGAGTTACATAATACATGATGAACCAAGCCCTAAGGTCATAAATAAGAAACTTACAGGCCAAACAGTGCTAGACTAATTGAGTCCTAGACACAAACGTAGCTCTGTTTTAAAAGGGTTTTGTATGTAAAAATAGGATTATGTGTGTATATATATGACTGCTAAGCGGAACTGTATTGTGAACACGGACTAATAGTGGCAGTGTGCATAAGTGAAGGTAGTGAAAATATACGACTTAATATTTCACCCATGAATTAGACGTAGCACGAAAAGGGTATGTTAATTAAAACTTCGGACAATGAACAAAATTTAACATACTGTGAGTAACGCAACAACGTAACAAGGGTTATTCCCTAGGATTCAATAAGAGTGCAAACAAAATAACAATTCCCGAGAGGGGGGGGGGAAGAGGTCAACGCTGAACCTGACCCTCCCTGGTCCAAAAAACATGGACCGAATCCCATTGAAGAAGAAGAGACCCCCTATGAACTACCTTAGGTTATGTATAACGCCAGAAGAGAAAGAAAAGAAAGATGGCGCAGATGATAAGACACTCACAATGCAAAAACTGAAAAGATGATAAGACACTCACAATGCAAAAACTGAAAAGATGATAAGACACTCGCAATGCAAAAATTGAAAAGATGATAAGACACTCACAATGCAAAACATTGAAAATATCATAAGACACTCACAATGCAAAAATTCAAACATTACCCTAAAGGAAAAACTCCATTCATAGGCTTTGGCATTTAAAGTAGTTTTGATATTTCATATCACATGTTTTAATTTCTTCATCATTTTAAAAACGATTTGACCGCCCCCATTCATAAATGTCATATACAGGTCATGCTATGTTTTCGTGAGTTAGGTTCAGCAGAGACATAAAATGTTAATGTTTTTTACAATGTATTTTGTTTATATATATAGGAAGAGATAAGTACGCACCACTGCATCTAATGAGTTTTTACTTTTTTTTCGCTTTGTAAGTTAGGAACTGAAATAAGCCAACCTCAGGATACTTGGAAACAGGATGTGACGCAAATGATACATAAATCAGACATAGAAAATGTACAATCACACTAATTTTCGTTTAATTTTGATTTTTAATGTAGTTTAATATAATACAGAAAAGTACTTAAATAAAAAAATATCTATGCATTGTGTTTTTGTTTTTAGTGAAAGACGAGTGTGATTTTACTACATGAATCTATTTGTAGAACAAATGTTTATTATTTGATATCGATCAAGTACACTCATTGGTCAGTGGCAAGTTTTCGGATTTAGAACGATTAATTAAACCCAAGGTTTCATTCACCGCAGTGGACAAAGTGTCGAGCTTTGTGCTGAAAAACAACAGCGACATCTACCAAACCTCTGTTACATATTTTAGTTCTTCTTGAGTTCAGATTCATCGAGGACAAAATATATTTTTTTTACTGGAAATAGACTTTAAACACCAATATTGTATAACATACAAACTGACTTATACTAATATAACATATAGATCACATATAAGAAACAAATAGCTAAGACTAAAAATGCGCTCACACGGAGTTATTAAATGACATTATAAATCATCCAGTTATCCTCCCAATTAATTAGATCATTAGTTGAGCCAAAATCAAGATGAAATTAATGTTTAGTTAAAAAACAAACACGATAAAAATAGCCTTAAGGAGTCACCAAACAGCTTTTAACAGACAGTGTAATAGTTGATTTATTTGAAATAAAAATTTTTTACTGTATGGCATGGTTTAAAAGATTATCACATGTGAACTAGCTAACAGATTTTACTCCTCCTCCTGAAGAAGGTTCCGCTTAGATATAAATAAATGATTAGTTAAGAAACGATTAAATTACCATAACTAATAAAATAGTGTACAAAACATATGTATTATACATATATTACCATTAAATAAATCGAGATTTTAAATAAGCAGTTTAAATTTGCGTTAATATAGTCGGAACCTACGCTACAATTTTGTTAAAAATAAAGATTTCTGTTTGGCTCTCAACGCATAATAAAAGTTAAATATGCTTGCCAATCAACAGCTTTTCGCTGATCTAAGACTAAATTATCAAACACGTTTAATATCATGAACGCTACATTTTATTTTCCATATGAAATATAAATCTATTCTCGTATTTAAGTCTGTAGGTTAAGTTATGAAGTTGAATTATAAAATCCTTCTAGAATTTGTATTTGTACTCGATATTTGCCTTGGTGGTCAATAGATGTCGCCTCCCACACTTCTTCTGACGTCCGTATATCCTGGAGAATGGATAAAGTTATCTCACTAACAGCCGAGCTCGGTACACCTTCTGGTGTGCCACATTTACAAAACAAATGTTACAGTTGGAAATAACATCTGTTCACAGTTGACACTTCAAAGGTGACATCATAGAATAATTTGTATAAAGAACGTATTATTATAACGTCAGTTGTTTTTTGATTTTTTGTTTTTTTTATGTCTGCTGGGTTTCACTTCTTTGGAACTGATTTTTTTTTTTTTTTTTGGTTTCTTTATAGATTCGGAATTATAAACTATGTTTAAGTATTTTGCAAAAATTTTCTAAGAAACTTAAAACTATTCGGGATGTACAAAAAAAAAACGCATAAACAGAAAACAACCTTTTCAGTC